TGATTAGAAAAAAATTTAAGGAATTTTTTCCCTTTTTTCTCTATCATGCTTTTTCGTTGCTTCTTTTTTCTCTTTTTCTGCTTCTTATTGGCTTGATCAGATTTATTTTTTTTCCGTTTACCTCATACTTTTTTCAGCATTCATACATTCTATTTCATGTTTTCTATTTACACTCAAAAATTTAATACATGCATAACTGACTTAAAATCTGCCTCAGATAATTAGTAGTTCTACTACATCCCCAAAACTATAAATACCTTAAAATGCTTAACTCTCTTTATCCCCTCCTTCTTCCATATAATTTTTTCACCCTGTTTTTAAGTCCTCCAAAATTAGTAATCATCATCTGTGCTGTTATTGTTGTTTTATACAGAGTACTTGATTAACTTGGCCCATGTTAACAAGTTCCCTTCTCACCGTTAAAGACGATAGCAGAATATAATGAAATAGAAAGCAAAGATAAAAGAAAGAGAATCCTGCTCCTTCCTCCTAGGTTTTATTTTCTTCTTACTTAAGTATATCCTCTAGTATTTCTTTCAGTGAAGATCTGTGAGCGGAGGCTCTCTTGGCATTTGTCTGACAGTATCTTTATTTCACTCTTGCTCTTGAATGGCAGTTAAGTGGGTTTAGAAGATAGTTTAGGGTTTAGAAGATAGTTTAGTATTACTTTCTTTGGGTACTTTGATGAAATTTTTCCATAATCTCCTGGTCTCTGGATTGATAAGAAGTCTGCTTTCAACCTAATTGCTGTCTTTTTGCAGGTAAACTGTTTTCTACGGTTTTGCTTTGTCTTTTGGTAGCTGCATTTTCAGTATAATCTACCTAGGTATGGATTAATTTTTATTTCTCTTGCTTGACACTCATTTAGCTTTTCATAATCTGAATGTTTCATGTCTTTCACTAATTCTGGAAACATCTCAGCCATTTTTTCTCTTTGAATATTGCTTCTTTATATGCCCTAAACCCCATCACCTCTCACCTACACAGAATCATCATTCCTTTGTTTATTTTATCTCTTTTTCTGCATCTCCAGTCTCTTCCACCTATTCTATCAATCCCCTCAACAAGTCAACATGCCCTAATATTTCCAATATTTAAAAAAGAAAAAAATCCTCCCTTGACCTCACATCTCCCTCCAGCTACCCTACTTTTCTCTGCTGGCCATCATTGCCACACTTTTTAACAAAGTTGCCTATACATTTCTCCACTTCCTTACCGAGCATTTATTCTTCATCTCACTTTAATCTGACTTCTCCCCTCACCAATCCAAAGAGGCTGTTCTTACCAAGGTTGCTAATGATCTCTATGTGTCTGAATCAGTGTTTATTCCTTATCCAACTGGACGTCTTAACAGCATTCAACATGATTGACCACTCCTTTCCTAAGACACTTTCACCTCTTGGCTTCTGAAACACTTTACTGCCTTGGTTTTCTCTAAATATTGGAGCACCAAGGGCTTGGAGTTGGGTTCTCTTTTCTTCATTTTCTACTTCCTCTTCCAAATAGCTTTTATTCATTCATACAACTTTTAATATTATATATTCATTAAGAATGGCCACATTTATACCTTCAGCCCTGACCCTTTCCTCTGACCTATCAAATTATGTGTAAGTTCATGCTTGACATTAACACTTGGCTACCTTAGCAACATTTAACCTTACCCATCCAAAACTGAATTCTTGAATCACTTCCACAAAGTGTCTTCCCTATCTCAGCCAATGGCACCATCATCCACCCAGTTTCTAACAGTAGAATCTAGGAGTCATTCTTGATTCCTCCCTCCCTCTAAGACCCTCATTTAATCTATTATCGAGCCCTGCAAATTTTATCTTCAGAATTTATCTTAAATCCATTCACTTCCCATCTCAACTGCCAGCATCCTGGTCTTTCTTGGCTTCTATTGTTTCTCAACTAGACTACTGCATAGCTTCTGAATCTTTCCTCCTATGAACAACCTCCTATCCATTTTCCACACTGTAGCCAGTATAATCTTAGAAGAAAAAAATCATCTTCCTACTTAAAGTCCTTCAAGGACTTCCTATTACACCTGCATTAAAACTAAATCCACACATATTAATAAGCCTTCAAGGCCCTTCATGACCTGTCCTTTCCTACCTTCAGCCTTATCCCAATTCCTCTCCCCTTCATCCTGGTGTTCTGGTCACCCTGGCCTTTCAGTTCCTCAGTCACACCAAGCTGTTTTGCTCCTACAAGGCCTCTGTACATCCCCTCTGCCTGGAAAGCTGTCTACCCCTCCCTCCACAGAGCTAGCTTCTCATCCTTTAGGCAACTTGAAGTCGCCTTCTCAGAGAGGCCTTTCTGACCCTCCACTGAGGCCCCTCTTGGTCTCTTTAGTAGCAGAAACATCATTTTGCTCCTATAGCCCTTTTCATAATTTTTTGGAGTTATTTTATTATATTTAATTGATCTTACAATTTCAATAGCATATTAACAATTGACTTTGCTGCCATAGTCTGTGAGCAGGCCCTTCAGTGCATTTCTGGTAAACTGCTAAGAAACCTATGATTGCTGAATTTACAAAGTGTTCAACTTTTAATAGGGCACTTTAACTGAACAATGTTCTAGTACAAAGTTTAAACTGAGTGGGCCTCTACATGAATTCTGACATTTTGGCTATATGAAATACAAGTGCTCCCAGGATGGAGTTCTCTGCATTCCTACAAGGAGTGCTTTGTTGTGTCTTAGGGTTGTCACTTACAGCACATTTTTCCCTTTAAGTAAGAAAATTTTGAGAGTTTTTTTTGTTTCTCATAGCAGAGACAATATAATGGGCCATTTGCGTATGATAAGCTGTAAGACCAAAAAACTGTTACAACTTAACTAGTTTTATTGAATGGAAATCATGGTCATAAATTGCTCTTTATTAACTTGCTTATTTCTTTCTATGTTTTTGATAAACTGTAAGTTCTACTAGGCAGGAACCAGGACTGTTTTGTTACTTTGTGTATATCTAGTCACTAGTTTGTATAAATAAATAATAACTCAAAGTGATGCTATTTTTCTCTTAAATAGAAGCACATAATCGTATCTTCTCAAATTGTGGCCGTATTTGTCATCCTTTCTTTCTTTTTTTTTTTAAGTAGTATATTGGGCCTCCCTGTCTCTTTAAAAATATTACAGTCTACATTTCTTTTATTTGTTAATGGGAGTTTAAATATTTTGAAAGATCTTATCTAACATCTTATAATATTTCAATTTTGTAAAAATCCAAAACCTCTTCAAGGAGATTTCTATTCTCCAAATTAGACTGCCTATGGTTTTTTATGGCTTGTCATGGCTACATTCACTTGCAGGGAACCCCCATCTCTGCTTAGAGAACAAGTATTTTTGTTTTCATTTTTATTTTAAACCATGACTTTACAATGGTCCTGTGTACCTGAATAATTAGACTACCCTTGTTTGGTAATATTCGAAACATTTAACAACTGGGTAGGGCACCGACCAGTAAGCCTGGTGCCGTGGCCAGCCAGATGGGACTTCTACTTTACACACCTGTAGGCCAGAGCCTGCTGAATATGGACCCTGTCTCTGGGGAAGGCAATTCTATAGGCCCTATTGGAAGCCTGCATTTTCACCCAACTCCCTCCCTTTTTTTTATACCCGTTTTGGAAGTGGTTCAAAGCATTGGAAACTTTTAATTATCCCATAATCATGTTTTATTTATACCTGCCTGGATATTCCACAGATGGGGCAACCTCAGTCAAAAGGACACGGTAATTGAGTTCTGCCTTCCAAAACTTGCTGAGCTAAATGCAGGTTGTAGCAACTGGCTCGGGCTATCTTGGGTTTGTCTACACAATGCCTAGTTGTGGGTGGTGAGAGTCTCATTCCTGAGCTGGTAGCATGGCCCTATAATCTTGCTGTTTCTCCACATTCCTTTATGACTCTGGCCTGGGGCATGGTGGATCTGTGGAGGATTTTCAAAGATCAGAGCATAGTTTTCTTTTCTCCAGATCATATGCAACTCTGTGAGGGATGGTCGCTCACTCCGCTGAGGGCTTCATTTCTTCAAGTATTTGTTTCATGTCCCATGACTCTGAATTCTCAGAATTTTTTTTTTTCTTTTTGGATCACAGGTCCACACATTCCGAGGCCCGCACTGGTGTGAATACTGTGCCAATTTCATGTGGGGACTCATCGCCCAAGGAGTCCAGTGCTCAGGTAGACTGGAACCTTCTTTATACCTTTCTCATTACATAAAGTGCCACCATGCTGAAATGGAGGATATCTCTCCAGAGCTGGGAAATATGCCCAGATTAGTTCAAAAGTCTAGCTTTCTGCAAGGTTGAAGGTAGCCCTGTGCTTAGTGAGAAGACTGTTGCAGGTATTTGTAAGAATGAGAAGGAATACCTCTTATTTATGGAAGAAAAGAAAACACACACACACACACACACA